AGATTTTGTCCCCCACTTTCTCCTTCTCTCTCTTTTTCCATAGTAAAATGAGGAGAGCAATGAAACCAACTTTTCAAATTCAATTCACTCTGCAGGTTAACTTAGTGCAGTGATTGGGAGTGTATGAGGAAGGAATGTATAATGTGATCCACTTGGGAGAAAAATCAAACAGAGCATCAGCTCAATTAAATAATATGGTTTGATATGTAGGACCATGGTGGAAGCAGGGCTAATTAAAACCAAGTCAGAGGAGAAGAACTTCCTAATTCTCATATTAATTCACCCAGAGCCACCTGGATTTAATTGTTTTCTGCTTTTCCTTCGATAACTCTCTGGTGAAAGGGAGCAGGGCAGAAGCTGTGGGCTTCAGTAAGTTCGAAGGTTCTACAGGGCAGGCCTCTAACAGAGGCTAATTATAGTGAAGGAAGATAGGGAGAGACTCACCATTCCCAAGCTCCCACCTTTTAGGGAGTGTATGTAAATGGGGACTCAGCAAGTCTGTTAAGGAGGTGTATAGCTCTGAAATCTGTTAAATCCACTCTTGTTCCATTAGCCATTTGTATCCATACAGCAGTCCAGGGAGATAGGCAAAGCAGGTTTGACAGAGGAGAAAACTAGTGCCTGGGGAAATTTGAGTCTTACTCAAGGTTTCCTCTCCAGAGGCTGGAGTAGAATCTGGGCCTCCTGATTGCCTGGTCAGAACTTTGAGGATCCCAGAGGATCATGATTTCCTAGCCACGAGCTTCCCTCTTTCCCCAGCCTCTGGTTTTTAAGGACTTAGGATGAGATTTCTTGGCATCTCTGAGGCTCCTTGCTCTTTGCTTAGCAAGCCACCCACAATGCTGCCTGCTACGGGAGAGCTTGAGCCCCTGATGATAGGCGTGGGGAGACAGGAACGAAGGTGCCCAGAAGGGCCAGACTGCAGTGATGGCAACAGGTTCTAGTGCGCGGGCCCTGAGTGAAGGAGGAGTGGGCACTGTGCTCTTAGCCAATGCCTGTGCACCAGCTGCCGAATCGGGTTCTTTTGTATTCAGAGCAAGAGGGGGGATTTTTTAAAAAGTGCAGCTGCTCTGGTAAAAGATGTGAAGACTGAAAGCCACAAAGACCCAGAGTGCACTACTGGGAGCAATTTCTGGCTGTGAGACTTGAGGCAGGGGTGAGAAAGGAGCCAGGAAATCCGGGTTGCTTCTGCCCGGTGGGTTGTATGTTACTGCCGTGCATCCAGTGCCTGCCCAGATGTGGCTCAGCTCAGCCTGGCACACCATAGCCTTTATTGCTACACCTGAACCATTGATCTGGCATTCAGACCTCTTTCGGAATAGCAGGGGTGGTTTGTTTGTTTTTGTCTTAACCCAAAGAAGGCTCTATTTTCCCTTTGTAATGTTGTTTCTTACAAGTAAAATATAGTATACGTTTATTATAAAAAATATGCAAATAATACAGAAGTATATAAAAAACAGTTAATGCCCCCCATCATGCACATATACCCATGTCTTCCCCTTTCCTCTTTTATTCCCAGAGTTACCCTATTAGCAGTTCGATGTGTATAATTCCAGCTTAAACACACACATAAACACAATTTTTAAAACAAAAATAAAACCATAGTACACATGTTCTGCAATTTTTTCACACAAGAATGTATCAAGGTGTGTTTCTATTTCAGTGTATAGGGATCTACTTAATTCTTTTTAGCTGATGCATAATATTCCAAAATATGTACATACCATCATTTATTTAACAGTTCTCTTATTGGGGCAGGAGGGAACTTTGAAAGGTGGTGGATATGTCTATGGTCTTGATGGTGGTGATAGTTTCACAGATGGTATACTTATCCCCAAACTCATGTAACTGTATACATTAAATATGTACAGCTTTTTATATGACAATCATACCTTAACAAAGTGTCTTAAAAATTCCATTATTGAGGGACACTTAGGCTATCCCCTATGTAATATTTTTCATTCTTACATAAGATTCAGCATTGAACGTACTCGGGCATATCTTGGCATGTTTTTATGAGTATGTCCATAGGCAAATTCCTTGAGCTGGAATTGCTGGGTCAGGTGGCATATACATTTTAAAATTTCCTAAGTATTGCCTACTTGTTCTCCAAAAAGATTGTGCCATTTTATTCTCCTATCAGTGGTATATGAGTGTGAACAATGTTCTCTTTATGCAGGATTTGACTGGAACAGTTTGAAGATATTCATTTTTGTTTACTTCAGTAACTACAAGCCCCAGCCCAGAGCCTCTCACTTCTCATGGAAATCAAGGGGCTGGTTGGGTTGGTGGGACCCAAAGGAGAAATACAACTCAAGTTGCCATACAGGGTGGTAGAAAGTGGGAGACAGTGGGAGACAAGGTTTCTAGGACCATCTCTGTGAGGCATTGGGCAGGGGACTTCAAACCCCTGGGCCTCAATTCTCTTATCTATGAAATGCAGATCATAATAATTGCTACAGTGAACCGTTGTGGTTGTTGTGAGGATCATATGGGGAGATACAAAAGTGTTGTGTAACCTGAGAAGTAGGATACACATGCCAAGTAGTTATTATGGTAATGTTATATCCTTAAATCAAAGAGCTCCCATGCAAGAGAGAAGGGGATGGTGGGAGTTAAGTAGGAAAAATTACACAGATGAAATCTTTAAGGTATTTCAGCTCAGAATCCCTTCCCTGAGAGATCCCATGCAGTTTCCCTATATTCTTGGAGTGAATGCTGCTTTCTTGTGTCAAGAATAGAAGACCCAAGTCTTTTGTGCTAAGCTTGGGTCCTAAGTCCAGTCCTCTTTCTGTGACATCACTGTGCTTTAATTTGTCAAGCACCTAATAGGATTTTGGCCCCATGCTACTTTCTGTAATCACCAGAGAGAAAAGAAATACACACATGAAACGTTTAAATAACCATGTGTGGTGACTGTATAAATAGCTCTGAGTTATAGCTGAGGTATATGGGAGGATTAGAGTGAAATCAAATACCTTTTAATTACAATTTAAATCAATAGCCTAGAAGACCCAAGTTAAATCATTAGCCAGGAAAATCCAGTTATATTTTTCTATTTCTTAAAAAAAAGTTCTTATTTAACCCAAATAAATGCATTTTATAAATCAGAGATGTTAACATTGAGTAGATGACATTCATTTAGATCAGTGATTTTTTTTAGGTTACTTTAACCATGATGTAAAAAAAAAAAAAATCAATGTGATGTGGTTGCTTTTTTCTAACTCCAAAGTTAATTAAAAAGATATCTGTAAAATCATTGGAAGCAGAACCATCCTGATTTCAACCTATTAATCAAGGATTTGAGAGGGAGGGTGTTGGGCATTTTTGTATTAGAAGACAACCACCACATCAAAAAGCAATTTAAAAATGCCTGATTTTTTTTAATAACATCAATCTTGTATAGTCTGGGTTTTTTTTAAAGCAAGTATGTATTTTAACAAAACCAGTAATACTACGTTTAATTCTTAGCAGGAGTACACTGTATCATACTAGAAAAAGCATAGGCTTTGGACTCGGATAGATTTAGATACAAATCCCAGCTCTGCCACTTGCTACAATGTTCATGTAATACTCATGTGTACATAAATATATATTTTTAATTAATGAAAATAAAATGCAAAATGACCCTTAAAACAGTCTGGATTACGTAGTTTACTTAGTCTTTGCTTCCCTCTTTCCTGTTTTGCTACAGATTGGGTCACTGTTTTTTTTTTTTTTTCAATTTCCTGTATCATCGTAATTTAAAATGAATTTATCCAAAAGAGGCATCCCATTCTCTAACTGCCTGAGAAGTTCTCTCTGGTGAATCTACAGATCTTTTGTGTGATTTTTTCCTAAAAGCACCTGGGCAGAATATATTCGTTTGCTCTTGGTCTTGGAACTTATTTCGTTGGCATTATGGAGAAAGGATTGCTGCATGTTCTGCAGTGTTGAGAAAAACTGAATAAAAGTGCACTGAGAAGGGTCATGACCCATTTTGACAATTCAAGTATGTGAGGATATATTTATCTTTATAAAAATAAGTTTGAAAGTAGAAAGGAAAAATCACCCATAATCCTACTACTTTAACCCAACCATTATAATTTGATGTTTTCTTCTGATCGTTTTCTGTAGGCATATTTTACATCATTATAATTCAAATGTACTTATTATTTTGTATTATTTGACATTTTTTATGGCAGCTTACTGTCTCCTTGCTGGGATTTACTATAATTTACATAATCTAGCCAAATCCTGGGGAGTATGGACTGTGGAGTCGAAAGAGATGATTTTTGCAATTAGATTTTAGAAGGCTTTATACACCTGCAAAAATTTGAACCATACAGGAGGAGACATTGAACGTTTTAGGGAAAGGATGGACAGAGAGAACCACATTTTAATGAAATTTTACGTATATATGCACACACACATACACGCATACATACACTCTCTGTTTGAAGAATTTTTCTTTTTTGTATGATGCTTTATGTTTTGAAACGTGTGCGTTTCATGCTCAGAAAAGTAGTTTCCCCGATCTAGATTGCCATCTCTTTGAATCCCACTGTCACATCTGCCTCTGAGTTTTCTGTGTATTCCAGAGACTCCATCAGTGTAACCTGCTTGCCTGACAGGTGGTGTCCCAAATCCAAACCATTTCTCCCCAGTGAAACGTGCCAGTGTAGCTGGACAGATTTCCTCCCCTGAAAATTCGTCTCAAATTGTAGTCTTCCTGAAGGGAGCAATTAAGGAAGATAAATGAAACCCCCCTTCTCCTCCATCCTGCCAGGTGCCCCCTTTCTTGACGGCCCCACCTCTGTCTAGACAACCGTGACAGTGTAGAAGTTTCCATCTCCTTTCCCTTTCCCTCTCCATGTTCCCTCCCCTTCAGTTTTTCCCCCCTCTCAGGCGCTTCCTGCCTGGAAACAAAAGATTGGTCCCCAGTAGCCCACTCAGGGCGATTTTAGTTTTATGCTCACCATCTGATTGGCCTAGGTACGGTGCAGAGCCCGGGTGACGTCATAGCAGAGAAGGGATAGGGAGCGGTTGCCGAGCAGGGGCTCTACCACGGGCGGGCAGCTGTGGCAGCGAGCCGTCTGGGATCTCACACTGGGGGCTGCAGCTTTTCCCCGCCTGGAGCCAGCGTGCGGGGGCGGGAGAAGAGCCGGGGGGAGCGGGCTGGGCCCGGGGCTGCGGCTGCGGCCGCGGGGCTGCAGCTCCCCAGCCCCGCCAGCCGGAGCGCTCCGAGGTAGAGGAAAGGTCTTGACAGGGTGGCTGGACCAGTGGCAGGTAAATCCCGCGACTTATTGCCCCCGGCTAGCGCGGGGGTGGGGGTGGCGGCGGGGAGCTGCTTTGAGGCTGCTGGACAGATGTTCTGCCTTTCCCGGGCCCCCTCCCGCTCCCGTGGCGCTCTAGCTTCGAGTCTCCTACGTGGCTCCCCCGGAGCCCTGCGACCAAGCGCGCAGTTTGCATGATCCCGGCTCGCGAACGGACAAGTGGGTGTGTCAGGGCCGTTCCCGGAGGGCCTGGGCTCCTTGGCTTGGTCAAGCCCTAGACTCCTCTACTGGGGCCTGGGCTGCTTGAGGCAAAATTCGCCCTGAAAGCTACGTCAGCCTGTAAGTCTTATACCACCTTCCCGTCCCCCTCCACCCCGCCACAGTAGCGGTGACAGCAGTCCCCCAGAGAAGAGGAGGGGGTGTGGCCACGGTCTGGCCAAGTCCGCGTTAGAAGCCCCCAACAGGAGCAAACAGAAAGAGTGACGATTTTCTTAAAAGGGTGCTTTTCCCTCTTTCCTTTATTTTTCTTTATCCCCTTCCCCTTTTTTGGTGGGGGGATGGAAGTGGCAGGGGGACTCTTTTCTTCTCCTGTGGGGATTAGAATGATGCAATAACGTCCCTACCAAGCCCGGGGTCCCTTGGTTGGCCCTTGTCTTTGTCTGGGGAGCGGGGTCATTGGGGGCACTGCCTCCCCTTCTTCCCTGTGCCCCTCAGCGCGCAGGGGGCATTGCCTTCAGTTTGTGAACTGGCTCTAGCAAGATGACTGCTGCACTTTTGGGTGAACTGAACATTTTAGATTCTTGCTCTGGCAGGTTTTCCTTCCCTAGGTGGCTGTTGAGGGGTGGGGTGGGGGATCAACGGGGAGGGTGGTTCTGGCAAGGAGCCAGAGATCCCACTTGTTTTTTTGGTCCCACCTTCCAGAATCCAGTTCCAGATTCTGGACTTGAGGGTTCTGGGCTGTGGTCTGTAGAAGCAAAGGAGAGAAGGGTGAGTGGCTTGGCTTTGGGAAGCATGATGGGGGCGGTTGCAGTGCTATTTTTAAAAAAATGGCTTTCAGCAGGGAAGCCTTTAGCCATGTTAGTCTTGCTCCCCCCATGGTTTTGCAGACTCAAATCCAGGCCAACTGTATGGCTGTCTGAGGTGTTGGAACAGAAGGAGGTCCATTCCTGTTGGTGACAGCACTGTGGCCCTGTTCTGGGATGAGCGAGGTGTAAAGGTCAGTGCGGTTTTCACTGGGCCATTTGCAAAATTGTAATTGGGCAAGATCTGTGATTTGGTACTTGAGACCCCCAATCAGGGGTACCTTTGGGCAAAGGGGCTTAATACAGTAACGGATGATTAACAGGCTGGGACTTGGAGAGAGAGCCATTGTAAGGCTCTGTTTCTGGATACAAATGTCATACCCCCCCATTCCCATGCAAGAAACTAAATGGGAAGAGACTAGGTCTAGGAGGTATGCTGGGTGAGATCCTACAGCTGAGAATCCTGAGGCCAGAGAAACCTTGGGATGTCAAGGAGCAGACCCTCAATGGCTCCGGACAGGCAAGTGGGCCTTCTAGGAGAGACCTAATGGATAAAGGAGGTTCATGTGCAATAGGGATATAGGCGAGGGGCCACAGCACCCTAGGGACATTCTGACTAGTTGACCATTCCCACAGGTTGAAGATTTTTCTGGTCGGAGGTGAACATGGTATATAGAGCACACAAGTTTGCTGAGGTCTTGGGGGACAGTAGGTAATGGACGTGCCAGGTGAGGTGAATGAGGAATAACTGTGGGGATGGGGAGGTGCTGCCATCGGAGACTCTGCTATTATGAGATCAGAGACTAAGCTATTATGAGGTCAGAGAGGGTGGCCAAGGCAAAAAAAGATCAGATCTAGAAATCAGATGGAGTAGGTAGGATCAGATGGAGTATGTAAGATCAGACGGACTGGGTATCATCAGATGGACTAGGTAAGAGCAAAGCTATAGAGAGATAGAGGAAGAAAAGCCATCGTCATATCAGGAACCCAAAGGCCCTGATCTCCCTGGTGAGATGGAGAAGTTTTGGTGGTTGAAGTAGCTATGGCTCAGCCAAGAATTAGGGGAATGATTTCTAGATATTTAGGAAATCAATAGCATTCCCACCAGTGTAACCCACCTTCAGGAGCCAGTAACTTTGGCCAAGGGAACGAGAAGAAACTCGATGAGCAGCAGCCTCAACAGCTGGCTCTTTCCTCCTGGATAAGGAGAGGGAACTGGGGGTACATGGCCTCAAAAGGAGGTGGGGAGCTAAGAATCTGGCCTGGACAGGTAGGTTGACTGCTTTTACACTGGTGGGCTAGAGCCAGGTCTGGAACCCCTGCTCAAAAAAAAAAAAAGCCCTACTTCCGAGGGGCCCTTGGGACACTGTGTGCGTGGCGGACGGTGTAAATCCTCTGCCCTGGAAGGTAAGTGCAGCTGTCTAGGCATCTGGGGCATAGCTTAAGCCTGAGCGGCAACCCCCCACCACCTGCCAGGGGCGGTTCCCTCTGCAGGGCCTGAGGTGGACTCTCCTGCCAACTTGGCACTACACAGCTTCTCCAGCAGGGGGCGGGAAAGGGCCTGCAGCGGCGCGCAGGACCCGAATCCTCCATTTCAGGTGTGAAGCCTGAGCCTCGGATCAACTAACAACTATACATTTAAAATCTGATTTAGGGGTACCGGAGAACCAAATGAATCTCCGGATCTGGCAATCTGTTTCCATTTCCTCCCAGAAATGCGTCGCTTCCTACTGCGCTCCGTGGCTTTGGAAGGCATTTGCATTTACATACGCGGTGATTATTTGAGTCACTAATATAGCCTAACCGGGAGTTTAATTGGAAATGTTAATCAATGCAATAGATCTGTGTCTGATTTGCACATTCGGTCAATTATCTGCAGGTTGGGGCAATCTGCGCTACACCCAGGGGATGCAATGAGGGGCCAAATGGTGCAGCTGGGTCTGGGGGTGGGAAACATAATGGGGAGGTGGACCTTGAAGAGTGGAAAGAGATTAACAATTTACTGATGGGGAGAGGAAATCATTCCAAAGGTGTGGTCACAGGCCCGATCACTGAGATGGAACAGGAGGGCCTTGGAATCTGCACAGTGGGGGAGAGGAAGGCTGGGGTTTTTCTGAGAGATGGGAAGGGGCTGGATTTGGAGGATGAAGTTTTTTAGGGGCTGGAGCAGCAAGAGCTGGGGTGGAACGAACCCTGGGATTCAGAAGTCAGGTGTTCTGGTCTGAGCATGTCTGCCCCTCTCTGGGCCTCAGTTTCCTTGTCTTTCAAATTGGAGTTAGACTAGGTGTTCTCTAAGATGGTAGTGACATTGTAGGAAGTTAGTCCACTTATTCTTGGTAATGAAGACAGGTCCACTAAAGTACAGCTTCTCTCCCCCAAAAATAACCCCTTCTTTTTTGTATTCCCTCCAGTTTGGGCAAAAACAATACAAAACAAACAACCCCACAACCACACACGTTTCATCTCTTTCAGCAATGTGGCTTTACTTTTCTTTTATGTAAATGGGGAACAAGAGGAAAAAAAGAAGTCCAAGTTGAGAATGTGCTACGGACTCTGAAAAGCTCTGTATGGGGGTCTTATAGGAAGGCCCCCAGTGGGATGGGTAGACAGCAGATATTCACTAGTGGCCCTTACTCCCTAACTCAGTCTCAAAACAGAAGGGCTTGGGGTGAAGGTGAAGGAAGGGCCTGGCTAGGGGTGTGTATCTTTTTCCTTTCTATCCTCCCCCATCTTCATCTGAGCCCTGGGACGTTGTGGAATTCTGCATCCTAAGGAGACACTATTCCTAACAATCAGCACAATTGCGCCCTCTAGTGACCTCAATGGAGACACCTTTGACAGAGTTCCCCATGTATCCCACAGCCCACCCAGCCTGGGCGCCAATGCCCCTGTGCAGCTGTTACTCCCTGTGAAGAAGGGTTTCAGTCCTTCCAAGCAGGCTGACAGAGAAACTCAGGCAGCTGTTGCTTCTTGGAAGTCCTTCTCCTTCTTGCATATGGTTGGGGGTTTATAAAGGGAGTCATCCCCCCTGACCCAGTGCCCTTTCCTTCTTTGGGCCTGAGAAAGTTTCCAAAACTTCTTTCCCAGAAATCTTCGGTGCTGGGCAAGGCACTTGCAGTGGGAAGGCTCTGTGATAGAGAGAGTAGTTGTCCACAGCTTCACCCTACCCATCCCCATGATGGCAGCCCTAGTCCTCAGACAGGGATTCTGGCAGGAAGCTGAAATGCAGCAAGGTTGGGGGGTGGTGGGTGTCGGGTATATACAAGATGTGTGCACTGATTTCTACCTCATTGTCTAACAGGAGGCTGAGCATCCCATGCACAACAAGGCAGTAGAGGCACACAATACCTACAACACAGTAGAGACACACAACGTGGCATAGACATGACATAAAACAAATTAGGTACATGGCACATACACACAGCATAGTAGAAATGCAATACACATCCAGCACGGTACAGGCACATAGTACACACACAATAGCGTACTGACATGATCATGTATGCAACACGATATTAACACAACACTGCACACACACCCAACATGATACAGACTCAATATACACACATGGTATTTATACGACATAGCACACACACATACAATATGGCGCAGGGAACAGCACAGAGATACATGACCCAGAATATGCGTGTGCTCACACACACTCAACACAGCGCTCCCCCAGGCAGGCAAGAGGAGTGTGGCTACCAGGTGTAGTTCAATGCCCTCCCAGTTGCTTTTGCATTGGCTCAAGCTGGGCAAGTGGTGGGTTCACGGCAAGCTGCCATGGCGTTAGTAAGCTGTGCTACAATTAGGGCGGCTATGGGGAGGTGGAGGTAGGCTTAAGGAAAGCTCTTGATCTTGCTCAAAAACATGGGGGTTCTTGGTTAGTACGGGCTGGTGGTGCCCCCTCCTCTTCCCACCTCCTCTAGCACAGTTTCCCACCCTAATGAGCAGATACTACGGCCTCTTCCACCAGCCCTCAGCCCCAGGGACAGGCAGGGGGCTTCTTGAGGCCATTCTTCTCTGTGATCTCCTCAAGCCCCACCCCTCTCTGGAGCTTTGGCAGCCTTCCCTCCTCCCCCACCTCCTTGCAGGGTGAGCTCATGCAGCGAGGGAGGGGGCGGGTACACCACTCAGTGGCGCAGTGGGTGGGATTTGGAAAGGCTGTTTGGAGTATGCGTGTGGGAAGCACACAGGGAATGCCAGGGACGCTGGGGGACAGGCTGCTCTGGAGTCTTGCCCAAGAGCAAGAGGCAGACCCAGAGTATGGCATGGCCTTTTTTTTTTTGAGAACGGGGAATTGGAGATCATGTGGTTTTCCTGGCTCCCTTAGCCTTCTGTTTTGCTATCGCGCCACCTTTAGGTATTCATCTATGTCTTTGGATTAGGACCCCGTTCATTCTGGTATCCTCAAATGGATGCTAGCCTGAATCACGTTCTTTTAGGAATTAGCATATAGTTGCTGCTTTTCTCTGAGGACAAACACTGTTGAGGGAAGGGGAGTAGGAAGCCGAGTAGGAAGGATTGCAGAGCTTGGGGTTCTATAAAGGGGAAGATCAGCCTCTCCCTTGAGAGGCTCAACTGATTGTGGGAAAAGGCAGAGCAGGGAGGGGTTAAAGAGACCCTGTCTCCTTCGTAGTTAGACAGGGAAACCTGTGTGGGGAGGATGGGGTCAATTATCACCAAAGCAACAACAGCCACAGCAAATAGTATACATCCACCCTAAGAAATCTGGGGAAGACTGGGGAAGACATGCGTATGGTGGAGATAGGAGGGTAGAGGAAAGTTCCTATTAAGATCAGAGACTGAGGCCCTCAGCAGCTGTGAGATGTTAGCAAATTAGGGGACTGCAGAATGCTATTGCCTGGGAAACAGACTTTTATTCCTTCCCTGGTGAAAGAGGTTGGCGGGAAGGGGAATGGGAGTGGAGGCAGAGGCCTGGAGTCAAGGGATGAAATGAACTGAATAGCGGTGCCAGGTTGTCAGGAAGTGCAGATATTCCCGGACCCAACCTGCATTGGCCATCATCTCTTCATTTTTTTCTATTGTACACTAGACTCTACCGCTTCCTGTAATTATGCAGATTTCTTCATGATTATGCAAACTATGTAAATATTTCATATCTGTCTTATTTGATTTAGTTCTCCTAACACTTGTCCAAGGCGACTAGGAAGGACAGGTCTTTTCCACTTGACAGCAAGCAACCCCAGAGTGGTGAAGTGACTAACAGTAGTTACCATGTAACTCCCATCTCCTACCTCCCACTTCCACGCCCTATCTGGAATCCTATGTAACAATGCTTTTTTACACTTCTTGCCTCTCAGATTCTCTAGCTGCCTTAAGGGATTTTCTGAAATTCACTGTAGAGTGTGTGTGTGTGTGTGTGTGTGTGTGTTAGATGTTTGGGGGGGGTTGGATGAGGGAGTAGTAGCAGGTGGGGAAACAGGTTCCCTCTCCCCCACAATGCTTCTCTCGGCAGGTTTCCCCCAAGAAAGAGCAGCTGAGTCCTTGCATCTTGTGGCCACTGGTGTGCCCAGCACTGAATCCGTCAGAGCTGAAGCCAGCCCGGCCCCTTCTCATGGGCAGCATCCACCTGTGCTGAGGTCCTACAGCGGTGGCAGTGTGAGGTGAGTAATGGATTCCAAGGCAGGGAGTTAGGGATCTCCAAATCCAAGTGCATACTGCCTTTCCACCAGTGCTGCTGATATCAAAGACCCTGCTTGGGCCTCGCCAGCTAGGCTTCAGGGCATGACCCCTGCTTTCTGGGAGATTTTGCCTCGTACAGCTGCCCTTGGTCTCTTGGTTCCCTCATCTCTAATATGGGAATGACAGCCTTGACCTACATTTTGGGGTGAGGAGGAGAAACAACATAACAATCATTGCCAAGTCTTTTGCAAATGTCAAGCACCATCTATGAACTTCAGTGTAACACAGACATGCTTCCCATCAAGCTGACATTTCCTTTTCTCCTCCTTTCCTGATGTCTAAGTGGCATTTCAGCCACATGCTGCAAATTTGCCTGTCAGTTCCTGTGATTTCTACTGCCCTATAACCTTAATTTTACCTTCCTATTCAAAATGTACTCCCACTCCATCCATCCCTGCTTCTGGGCCTGGCAGAGTAAGCTTAAACCTTCCTGAACCTTCCCTCTGCCTTCCCACCCATCCAAGGTGCACTTCCTCCCCCAGTTCTCCAACAACACTTGAGTTTGTAGCATGCAGTGTAGCACTTGTTTCTCTACTGCCTTAGATAATTCTCGCATGGTTTCTGGAGTCTTTGTCTTAGCAGGTAAACCAGACTGTAAGCTCTTCAAGGGCAGGGACTAGATTTTACAGGTCTCTAGTCTCCCTTAAAAGTGCCTGACAGTTCCCTGGCAGCTTTGCAAGTTGAGCCCCTCTCTCTTCCTCTGCACTTCTTTCAGGTTTTACTCAGCCTGCCTCTCTGATCATCCACCTGTCTTTTTGTCTGCCTCTGAGGCAGTCACTAGAGCTTCTTCTGTCAGCTTCACCATCTGGCTTTCTGTTGCTATTCCCTGCAGTCCAGCTACCTGTTTGGAGCTTGCTGTCCCTCTGTCTCTCTGTCTGGTCCTTTGTCTCTTTGTTGGCTACTTGTAAGGCATCTCTCCTATTGCCCAAGTCAAAAAGCAGCCAACCAAAAATAAATAAATAAATAAATAGCCAACCAGAAACAAACTAAACAACAACAACAACAACAACAACAAACCAAGAAATAAGCGATACAATTCCCTTTCACACTGAGCATACATTGGGCCTACAGGACGAGGTAAAACTGCAGCTCAGCGGCAGGTGTTTCTGTGATGCCTTCTCCTGAAAGGGAAGCTCCAGAGTTTCAGCCGTGGAATTGAAGGTATGAAATTACAGCCTTGTTGATACTGATGCATTCAACTTTCTAGCGACGTTCTGGTAGCGGATCCTCTATAGATCTTGACGGACAGAAGGTAACTAGAACTGCCTAAAATACAAAGCAAGCTCCTGGATCTCTCCTGGGTGTTCTATGACAGCTACAATAATAACTTTTATTTATTGAGTGTCTACTGTTGCTAGCTCTATGCTAGGCACTTGATTTGCATGATACCATTTGCTCCTACAGTAACTCTGCAAGGTAGGTATTTTTGCTACTAGTTATTTTTGTTTCTGATTATACAAGTGATACTAGCTCAAGTTAGGTGTTATTATCATTGTCGTTTTACTAACAAGGAGATAGAGGTTGAGAGGGGCTAAGTAACTTGCCTGTGACTGGAGACATGCTGTGGCTTTGGGAAGAAAGATACTTTCTAGAGAGAGTTTCCCAGCATCCCAAGTTATTCCGGTCCCCCCTAGTGCTCACACACACGTACACTCACCCTCGCGAGCATGCTCATGCAGTCTCATACATTCCCACAGCGACTCCCAGACTCCTGCTCACTTTTCACACTGCACTCATTAGTAGTGACAGTCACTGTTACCCCCTCACCCTCACACACAGTCCTATTTACAAACACACTTGCATTCAGGCACATTCACACTGCCACACACTCACATTCATATATTCACATTTTCATGCTGACACACAGTCACGCTTACCACACACTCCTTCTTCACGTTCACACCCACTCACACCTTTGTGCTATTTGTTCCACTCTCACACACTCGCAGTCACGTACTTTCACACCCACTCACATCCACACGATGATGCAGTCACCCTGACCTGCTCAAATTCCTGTACAATCACACCTAGTCTACCCACAAATACGCATTGACTTTCCCCCTACACACACTCAAACTCTTTCCCATGCTCACAGCCATAGACTCAGTCAATGTCATAACTCCAGCATGCTTGCACTGATATCATTATTTCCTCCTCACAGTCATATAACTCCTCACAGGAACATAAACACGTGCATATATGCTAATATATTCGCATTTGTGTGTTCTCACACCATAAGCACCATCTCAGCCACTTGCGCTCTTACATTCAGAATTACACACTCTTGCACTCATGTACATGGTGCTGAAACCGTCCCCCTACCCCGGCACATTCACACATAGTCACATTCACACCTAGAGACACACACTTTGACATACATTCACACTCACACCCTCACCTACTTCACACTGAGACATAATCACCTTTTGTAGCAAACTCACAGGCACACACACTGAAATATAGCCATATATAAACATTTTCATAAATTCAGCCATTTTCACTAACAACCATCACTCTACGCTCTCACACTTAGACACAATCGCATGGTGTGTTCACACTGACACATGGACACATATGCCCATCTACGTTCAGCATGCATACAAATTCACATTAGCATACAGGCACACTTCACACATGCTCACACTCCCACACATTCAAACGCTCTCACATACTCAAAATTATGTGCTCCTGCTCATGCCCACAGATGCACAGTCACACTCTCCCACACTCATGTCCATTCACATGTATGCTCTCTCACACACCATCTCCCACTCATACATCACACGTTTTCACCATGGCAACATCATGCTTACCACAGACTCCCATTCTTACATGTTTCTACTCTCCTACCCTCATACTGATACATCCTCACTCACATTGCTCGTATTGCTATACACATTCACACTAGTGCACATGTGATGACACGCACAGTCGCTGACCTGCATTTACACTGGCACATACCACACACAATTCACATTGCAATGGTCAGTTCACATAGAGACCTGCGTGTACTCACAGGCAATTACTGATACTATGCATGGCCATACAGACTCACGCACTCATCCTGCCACACCATTACTTACAGTGATATGCATAGATACACTTAACCGACACTGTCTCATGTGCCCGTACAGTCACATACTCTCCTGTAAACACCATATACTTTTACTCAGACTCCCACACGGACACATTAACAGTGACACATATTCACATTGATACTGACCTACACTCCGTTACTGACATAATCACATTGACCCACCTCTATGCACATTGAGTCACACATACTGACAGTGACCCACACTTTCATGCATGTCCTTATAATACTTTCCGAAACTCTTACTGTGCCCCCCATACTGATATTATGATATTGTTGCATTGACACACTTTCTCACTGACACATACACTGTGATACCTCCAATCGCAGGCAGTAGTTTGTATTCATAGTTACCTTTCTTTTTTCTTTCTCTTTGCCACTAGTTCTCTCCTCATCTTTGCTAAAAGGTTTTCGGGCAACCAGTGGCCAAAAGAAGAATGTTGGTCTTATCCAGCGTGCCAATGCAAGATAGATCCTTCCAGAGCAGAAAACCCACAGATCAAGTTTTCTATCCTTCCCACATAGTTTCTTTAACAACGGTCATCTCTAATAGAGCCTTAGCCAGTCCTGTCCAATGGAGTTTGGAGTTTAGATCATGTATTTGTTTTCTGAAAGTTCAGGGCTTAACTTGCCACGCCATTTCTCTCCCAGGATGGGGAGAAGGTGAAGAATGTGTCTATGCACTCTTACTGGTTTCCTATGCAAAAGTACATGTCTCCAGTTTTATGTTTATGATGTGGAATTGCCTGCTGTTTACACACATGGAAAGGGCAGGACTGCTTCCACCAGGCACCTCTGATGTAGCCAGGTATACTTAATACCCTGTTAACCCTGGAACATGGCATTCAAGAAAAAGAAAGAGAAGGTTAATGAACTAGCTGGATGGTAAAGTAAATTTCTACTATGAGTGTGCATGTGCGTACGTAGACCCCACTGAAATTTCAACAGCTGTTACTCACAAGTTACCAGAGGAGATTTCTCAGTAGGCGTGGGTAAAGATAAGCTGAAGGAAGTCCCTTGCACCCTAGACAGACTGTAGATTTTCCTGCAAGTGGGTAAAAAGAAACACAAACCCAGGAGTGAGCCAGTGGATTAGGAGCCTTATACTAGAGCCATTTGCCACCAGTGATTTTGAAACACAAGAGCACCTTGTAGGAACCTCCCTAGTGTGTGACTTCTTTTGCTGGAGTCTCCCTGGAGCAAAAATGAGTGCAAAATATGCCCGTGCTGCCATTTGATATGGGTTCTGGCATGCTATGGGGAACAGCCTATACTATGGAACATCACTCAACCTCCCTCTTCCCCCTGCCACCCGCCAGTAGATTGAAAACTTCTTTGATAGCAAGAACTGTATCGTCTTGCTCATTTTGGGTTCCTGATGCCTAGCACAATGCTAGGTTCAGAGCAGCTACTCGTGAGACTCAATTAAGAAACTAAAAGGAGTAGATGGGCAGCAACATGTTATCAGTCCAGATCCAGTGTCTCTCTTCTTCTCTTCCTCAATCCCAGAATTTTGGTGGCATTACTGGCTCAGACTAGGGATTGTCTATGGGCCACACATAGTGCTAGACCCAGAGAGAGATTCAAATGGGTGAAAGACACAATACTCTGCCCTTGATGTACTAACATCTGTGCGGGAAGGATAAAGTTCCCATCAACATCAGTACAAGTCTTGAAGCTTAGGCTTGGAGGGGTCTTTATCATGAAATCCAGTGGTCTTCAAGCTCCAAAGGCCTTGAAGACCCACAAGTGGTTGGGGACAGCATTCAGAATTTAGGGAAGCCACTTCCCAAAGTAAACCTCCTCATAGACGTCTTGCTCAGCACA